TGTTATCTTTCTCTAGATTTGGGGAATTCTTGGATATTATCCCTTTGAATCAACTTTCTACTCCTATCTCTTTCTCTACCTCCTCTTTAAGGCTGATAACTCTTAAGTGAGGTTTTTTCTAGACCCTGTAGTCATACTTTATTGTTTTCTATTCTTTTTTAAATCTCCTGACTGTATTTTCAAATACCCTGTCTTCAAGCTCATAAATTCTTTCTTCTTCCTGATGAAGTCTGCTCCTAAAAGACTCTGATGTACTCTTTAATATACCAATTACATTTTCAGCTCCAGAATTTCTTTGATTCTTTTTAATTATTTTAATGTACTCATTAAATTTATCTGATATATTTCAAAATTCCTTGTCTGTTACTCCAAATTTGTCTTTCCTGAAAACAGCTATTTTGAATTCTCTGAAAGGTTGCATATCTGTTTCCCCAGGATTGACCCCTGATGCTTATTTAGTTTTTTTGGTGAAGTCATGTTTTCCTGGATGGTGTTGATTCTAATAGATGTACTTCAGTGTCTGAGAATTGAAGAGTTAGGGATTTATTGTTGCCTTCACTGTCTGGGCTTGTTGTACCTGTCCTTTTTGGGAAGGCTTTTCAGATATTCAAAATGACTTGAGTGTTGTAATCTAAGCTGTATCTGCTTCAGGGGCACCCCAACACCAGTGATGCTGTGGCTCTTATGGACTCATAGAGTACTGCCTTGATGATCTTGGATAAAATCTGGGAGAATTCTCTGGATTACCAGGCAGAGAATCTTGTTCTCTTCCCTCACTTTCTCCCAAACTAAGGGATTCTCTCTTTCTCTGTTCTGAGCCACCTAAACCTGGGGGTAGTGACACAAGCACCCCTGTGGCCACCACCACTATGACTGTGCTAGTTCATACCTGAAGGCAGCACAGCACTGGGTCTTGCCTAAGGCCTGCTGTAACCACTCCTTGACTACTGCTTATGTTCACTTAATACCCTGGGGCTCTACAATCAGCAGATGGCAAAGCCAGCCAGGCCTGCATCCTTCTCTTCAGAGTGCCAAGTTCCTCTTGACCCTGGGTAGTTCCAGATGTGCTATCTGGGGAGTCAGGGACTATAGTGAAAAACCGTATAAGTCTAGCTGGTATTCTATTGTACTGTGGCTGAGCTGGCACTCAAACCACAACACTCAGTCCTCCCCACTCTTCCTTCCCCTTTCCAAAGGCAGAGGAGCCTTACCCTGCAGCCACCACCACCACAAGCCACAGGGAGCACAGCCAGACTACTGCTGATATTTCTTTAAGGTCTAAGTACTCATAAGGCAACTTATGGTGAATGCTGCCTGGCCTGGGACTCACCCTTCAGTACAGTGGGCTCCCTTCTGGCCCAGAGCAGGTCCAGAGATGTTGGTCAAGAGTGGAGTCCAGAAATCAAGGACCTCAGGAGCCTTCTTGATGCTCTACTCCCCTGTGGCTATGCTCGTACCTAAGGTGCAAGACAAAGCTCCTTATTTTCCTTATGCTTTTCTCAAGTAGGAGTTTCAGCCAATAGTCATCACAGCTAGTAATGTGCCAAGTCCTACCTGAAGCTGGCAAGTCTCAGAGGGTCACCCAAAGCCCGCAACATAGGTCCTGGGTATCACTGCTCATTATTCAGAGCCTGAGGGCTTTTCACATAGCAGGTGATGAATCCTGCCAGGCCAGGACTGGGTTCTTCTCTTCAAGGCAGTGAGTTCTCTTCTGGCCCAGAGGTTGTCTAGAAATGTCATCCAAGAGCTAAGTCCTGAAACAGGGGCCTCACAGCTCTGACTGGTGTCCTATCTGCTGTGGCTGACCTGGTATCCAAGATGCAAAACAAGCCCTCCTCTCTTCCCTCTCCTCTCCTTAAGCAAAAGGAAGGTGTCTCTTTCGGAGCTGTGAGCTGTGCAACCTGGTGTTAGTGGAGGGGTGATGCCAGTATACACTTAGCCACCCCAGCTGGTGTCTTAGTAGGTTACATGACCCTTCCAGTCCACTGTCTCTGGGCCTGGTTCAACACTGGTACTCACCTAAGCTTTGCAGTCCTTATGGCCTAGACTGCCTTTCCAGTTTACTTAGAGACATATAGCAGTGTAGCCCTTGGTGATGAGGTTGGCAGGAACTCAAGTTCTGACGACAGAAACTGGCAATTTTCCTCTGGTTAGGGCTGATTTAAATGCTCCCTCTATGGGCAGGCATTAGCAGGGCTTGGTCCAGTTTCTTTTCTGCTCTAATGGGAGGGCACTGAATTCAGTGACTCACAGTTGCTATGTTCTGCCTCCCCCGGCACCCAGAGACACTCTCCGCACCATGCTACTGCTGCTGGGGGTGGCATTAGAGACCTCAGAACTGTTTTATTCACCTCTTCACTGCAACTTTCAATGATACAACATTAACAGCAGGTACCATGAAGACTCACCTGATTTTTGGTTCTTACCAAGATGCCTTTTTTTGTGTTAGATAATTGTCAAACTGGTGTCCTTGGGTGGGGAGGGGAAATTGGGGTATTCTATTCCACTGTCTTGCTCTACCTTCTATCTTTTTTTTTCTTAATTCAAAAAATACATTATTAAAACTTTTATAAAATCAGTGGTCATTTATATTTTCCACATATTTACCGCTTCTTTTCTCTTTGATCCTTCTTGTATTTCAGACCTTCCATCTGAGATCACTTTTTAATGCCTGAAATTTATTCTTTAGAATTCTTTCTTTCTTCCTTTCTGTCTGTATTTCTTTCTTTTTTTTTTTTTTTTTTTTTTTTTAGACAGTTTCACTCTTGTTTCCCAGGCTGGAGTGCAATGGTGCGATCTCGGCTCACCGCAACCTCCACCTCCTGGGTTCAGGCCTCAGCCTCCTGAGTAGCTGGGATTACAGGCACACGCCACAGTGCCCAGCTAATGTTTTGTATTTTTAGTAGAGATGGGGTTTCGCCATGTTGACCAGGATGGTCTCGAGCTCTTGACCTCATGATTCACCCACCTCGGCCTCCCAAAGTGCTGGGATTACAGGCGTGAGCCACCGCGCTCGGCCCTGTCTGTATTTCTTTCTTTTTTTAGTGATTGATTAGGTTTGATCTCTGTAAGCAAGTGGGAGCATGCTAATTAAGGGATGTTTCTTGGCTTTGTTCACAAAGCCCAATTATGAGAGTTTACATATACCCACTTGAAAGGTAAATGTAAGCATGCTTCTTTTAAGATGCACCATGCACTATATTGTTTTGCTGAGTAAAACAAAATGAGAATGGCAAGAAGAAAGCTAGAGAGCTAAGAGTGGATCACCTCATGCAGGGCTTGACAGCTATAATAAAGAAAAAATCTAGACTTTATCCTAAGGATAACAGAGTCATTGAAGAGTTTCAAGCATAAAAATGTCATTATTATATTTACATGTTAGAGATATTACTTTGGCTGCTATATGCAGAATAGTGTAGATAGGGGCCAATGGTGAATACTAGGAGAGCAGATAGAAGACTATTGAAGGAATACAGGCAAGAAATGAAATAGGGAGAATGAATGCATTGGATATTTGGTAGTGAATCATTAGAGCTTCATGAATGACTATGACTTGTTTTTGGGAGTAAAGGACAGGCTAGAGTTAAGGACAAAGCTTAGGTTCCTGGCTAGGAAAACCATGTGGGTGATGTTATCACTCACTGATAAAGGGAACAAGGAAGAGAAGCGGGTTTGGAAGATAGAAAGGTAAGTTTCATTTTGTGCATGTTTGACGTGAGATACTTTTGAAACTTGTGGTACTTAAGAGAAGGGATGGTGGCTCATGCCTATAATCCCAGCACTTTGGAAGGCTGAGGCAGGTGGATCATCTGAGGTCAGGAGCTTGAGATGAGCCCGGCCAACATGGGGAAACCCTGTCTCTACTGAAAATACAAAGATTAGCTGGGTATGGTATTGTGTGCCTGAAATCCCAGTTACTCAGGAGGCTGAGGCAGGAGAATTGCTTGAACTAGGGAGGCAGAGGTTACAGTGAGCCGAGATCAGGCCTCTGCACTTCTGCCTGGGCAACAGAGTGAGACTTCATCTGAACAAAGAGAGAGAGAGAGAGAGAGAGAGAGAGAGAGAGAGAGAGAGAAAGAGACACAGAGAGAGAATGTCTCCTTTGCTACTTCTTTGTCTTGGGAAAATGCAAAAGTGGTACGTTTTTCTATAGACTACTACTGAAATGACCAATTTTCTGAAAGGGAGAGGGAAGATGATACACAAAACTTTAAAAATGTAAACCAGTTTTTCTCTATCCCTTTCTCTGACTTCTCTACATTTGGCTCCGTATTAGATATGGTCATATATTCTGCCTTACAAAGTGTGGTTACGTGCAGTCAATTCAATTTATCTTATAGATAATTCAGTTTACCTTCTTTTTTGACCAAAGAAACATGGTAGGGTTGGCAGCCTCTTAGATGACCTCCAATGATCTCTTTCCCTTATAGATTACACCCTTGTCTATAATCTTTTTATTCTTTCTTTTTTTTTTCTTTTTAGTGTGAGCTGAACATTTCAACTCACTTTTGAAAAACACTATATGGCAAAACTGATGTGACGGCACATCTGAGGTAATAGGAAAAAACAACCGTGGCTTCTGTTTTGGGTGCCGAATCTCATGATCTTTCTTGGATGTCTTCATATTGGGGGAAGCAAGCTTCCACGTCATAAGGAAGCCATGTGGAAAGGCACAAATGGCAAATATCTGAGGCTTGCCAACAGCTGAGTGAGAGAGCTTGAAAACAGATCCACTTCTGGTTGAGCCTTAAGATGACTGCAGCCCAATCTGACATGCTGATGGCAGTTACGTGAGAGACTATGAACCAGAATCACCCAGCTAAGCCACTCCTAGATTCCTGACCCACAAAGACCATGAGATAATAGATGTTTGTTGTCCTCAGCCACTGAATTTTGAAGTAATTGGTTATGCAGCAGTAGATGATTAATATACCTGGCTTGGTGTATTAATCAGGGTAATCAGGCTGGGTCATAGAAGGAGTGTTTGATATGTAAGAATGTTGTGATTGAGATAATGTTTTATTTATTGAAAAGTAAAACAGTACATTAACAAAATCTTATCTGATAGAGATTATACCAGAAGTCTTCTTACTGTGATTATCAGCTAAGTGACTGGTTGAAGTCAGGATATAAATCACTGGATAGTTTTTTTTTTTCTCTGAAAACATCAATAAGGCCCTCTATTAAAGAAATTGAAATGAGATCTTGCCCTTTGGAGAAAGGGCAAGATAATTCCTGTAGCCACAGCTCTCAGTCACGCAGAAACAGAGAGTTTTGACAATGGTGGTCCAGTGAGCCTGGCCCCAGAACTCTCTTCAACTTGTCTCTTCCTTGACTTTGGGGAGAAGACTGGGCATGATTTAAAGGCTGGAGAATAATTGGACAATGTAAAAATTCATGTCCTGGGTTCATCCTTTGACCTTGTGCTATTAGTTCCAGTTTCTCTTTGCCTCCCATGTCTAAAAAATGCTCAGATACTAGTCTCACCACTTTGAGAGACATGGCTGCTGCCATCAGTGGGTGAAAGATTGTCTTGCTGCCTGAGATGGGATGTGCCTGGCAAATGCCCTCTTCTCTGGTTTTATAAGACAGGGACCTAAAAAGGGACAGGATGGGAGGAGGACAATCCAGCAGGAGATCATTTAGGGCTTCATGCTATAAATGTTTTTGCATTTCCAGAGATGAAACACGTCTCTCCAACACGGGGCAATTGCAGATCATAGCCCTAGGCTCTGGCTGGTTTTATCAATCTGGCAGTTCAGGGTCAGTGCAAAGGACATCCCCAACACCTGTGAAAAGAGTTGGGAAAAGATGAAGTCTTCATGAGAAAAGTTGTTTTCTTCACAACTTCTGGGTTTGGCCTCTGAGAAAAAGAATGTTTCCATCACACTGAAAGCACCCTTCCCGCCATTACTTCTAAGTCTCTCTCAGGAGTTCTCTCCTTTAGTTAAAAAACAGCAGTGGGGAGAGAAATGGGGTCAGTGCTGACAAGATAATCGGCTGTAAAGTATTGGACCATGTTTTGTCTTCTGAGGAAATCACAGGAGCCCTACTGCTAGGGTCAGATTCTGCTCACTGAACACTGTGCAATGAGTTCTCTCTCTCCATGCTCTGTGCCTCCTTCGTTTTCAAGCAGAGGAAAATCTTTATCTCAGCTTCCTGATTGAGTTTTAAATAATCTATGATATACCCAACACTTGGGTAGAAAAACGTTAGAAATATCACATTGTTTTAATCTTTTTTTATTAAAAAGGCCAAAAAACTACCTTCAATTTACCTATCACTTGTCAAACTGAGCACAGAAACAGAGAAAATTGATTATAATTTTCATCATCAACCCCTTAGCAGGCAAGATGGGTTTTTCAAATAAAATTCTTATCAATTCATCTTTTTCAGACCAGCTGAGGGAGGGATCAAAGTGGGATTCTGCTTGGTGGCCTCTTGTTTGACTGTGAATCATGTGAATCACTCATATCTTGGAGGAATAAATTGACCAGAGAGATGTTCTTACAGCACAATTTCTATATACCTTGAACCAAATTATTCATTGCATTATTTGCTACTTGGTTGGTGGAACTCAGATGCTAGTAAAAACAGCTAACATTTATTGTGTACATACTGTGTACCTGCTACTATTCTGAAACCTTACCTGCCTTGACTCATGGAATCCTCACAATAACCCTGTGGTTAAGCTCTTACCTCGATCACACATACACAGATGGTAATGATTCCGATATACAGGAAATTGGAGTGAAACCACAGTTTGGCTTTTGCATAGCAACCCTAGAAAAAATTTCAGTTACAAATGATACTACTGTATAATTCTGCCATATCAAGAGGATTATTTGGAAGATACAGTGGTTTGCATTTTACTATTCATAATACAAAGATACTTAGGTATCATATTTTCATTTTCTTTGCATGAATGAAGAAACGGGCATAAAGTGGAAAATATTAAACTAGAGACTTTTCTGCGGTTGTTATAATAACAGTGGTACCTAATACAGAAGTCCTAGATCCTTACCCACTGAGTTAAACTAACTTCTAAGAGGCAGGTCAGCAACTGATGTCCTAGTGTCTTTGAACACTCAGTGCTGACCTGAGAGTAACAAATGGGAATACAGGGTATGCAATCCTAAAATTGGTTTGCATTTCACTTTCTGCTTCAACAGTTAGTAAATCCATTATAGCCCTACCAAGCACCAGGGAAGCTGTTGGTCAGTGGGTGGCCTAGTCTTTCTCCACAAACCTGAAAAATTCTAGAGATTTCTAGCCACCTTCAGGGACAGGTAACATGAGGAGACAAGACCTCAGGGATTTGGTCTAGTTGGAAGATAGTTTTGGCTTCTTCTCAGAGTCTGTTCTGGATGTGCAAATTAATTAGACACGTTGTTTCAGCAGTTCCACTAACTCTCTCTCCCCCAACTCCTTACTCATTCACTTATGATTCATTTCCCTAAGGGGCTGAATTCTGCCATCTCCAAGAGAAAGAGGGAGAGGAAGAAACTTTTCTATCTCAATCCTACAAATTTCACTTTTAAGTAGACCTACTTCTTGCTTAAGAAATATCTAGACACAGCTCTCTTTCATTTTCACACAAACGATTCCCCTCTAATGTAATTTAGTCTAAAATAGTCTAGTGCAGCAAGATCAATCACAGTGTCTCTAGTGTAAATGAGTCTGTTCCTATGTTTTTCTGACTTTTCTAATTACCAGAGGTTGTCGCCCTGGCCTCTCTTTTATTAAAGGTGCCCTGTTTCTGGATAGAAGGTCTAGGTCCTCTATGACCACAGTTTCCAATTTAAACATTTAAACCAAGATTTCAATAACAGAAACATTGCCAACAAAATTACCTCCACTTTTGGATCTGAGGGGCATGATGCTGGTGGGCCACTGGTCCAATCACGCGTGCCATTTATACCACAGCACTGCAGCTAAAAGCCAAACCCCAGAAACAATGATGGTTAGAAAGTCAACAGTGGAAAAAAAAGCTGTGGACCTTTGAGGAAAAGGTGGCCCTTCAGATCTGACTCTGTAGCGGAAGTCCAGAATTGGCCTGTTTACTATGGGCTCCTTGAAACAAAGTGCTTTCTAATCCGTTATACCATTTCATTCACATAAGACCCCTGTGGAGTAGAGACCCCTGTGCTTAATCTAGTCACATTTTACAGATCAAGAATAAGGCACTCAGGGACTGCATAATGGAGGAATTAGGCTGACTACCCTTGGACCCACCAAGAGCTTAAGTCTTGAGATCACAGAAAGTGAGACCATCAGACATATGTAGCTGCTTACATGATACAACAGGAAGTGATAGCTATGGCAATCTTATCACAAAACAAAAACCCATCAAACTTCTAAGATGGGGCTTATAGGAGCCAGAACTCCCCGATACCAAAATACTTGAGGAAGCAACTAGCCAGATCTAGAGAGTGAAGAAGTCTATAGAACTAATAGCCAAATTTCTTTCCACAAAGAGCAAGAACAAAGAGGGGTACTATAGATTAAAAAAGAAATAGAGAGACATGTCACTCAAATATAAACACATAGGCTTTGTTAAGATCTTGATTTGAACAAGTCAATTAAAAATTTTTGAGACAACTAGGGAAATTTATAGACTTGCTTAGTGGTATTAAGAAGTTGTAAAATTTTAGGGGTATTAAAAAGAAGTTATTTTATATTTAGTGGATGAAATGATATATTGTCTAGTATTTACTTTAACATATTCTAGAAAAAAAGTATAGGGAATTAGATGAGATGATACTGGCAAAATGTTAACTATTGAAGAGTTGGGAGATTCATTTTTCTGTTTTTCTCTTTACTTTTGTATATTTCTAAAAATTATATAATAAAAAGTTTTCTAAACTAAATTGAAAAAATAAAGAATTGGAAATCTAAAGAAATTAAGTGACTTCCCCAGGGCCACCCAATTCTGGTCTCAAGGCTCTAATTCCTGTGCCATTTCTTCTACTCCATACTAAGCTGCCATGTGGTCATAGTGGTATTGTTTTGAGGCAAGATAGATTATACTGGTGCAAGGCTCCATCTCTATCTCCCAGCACATCAAGTCAGGAACACAGAGCTTGTGTATGCTGTATATATCCAGATCCATGTTTGTGGGTAGAAACGGCACATGAGGAATGGGGTGTCGGTAGGCTAGGTAACAAGCCTGATTTGGGCAACTCAGGAATTCAATGGCAATTTCTTGTATTATACAATACTGTTTTCAGTAAAATTTTGGAAAATACATAAACTAATCCAGTTTGCTGTGTTTGAGTCTTCTTCACATCCTAGTAGAACTTTGATAATACTCCTATTCACATTAGAAAAGGATGAAAGAGAAAAATGTAGATAACTTTGTACTAATCAGACTAATTCCTGGGCTCCCCTGTCTGTGATAGCCGAGGTATTATTCTGGACTTCAGGGATGAGGACCTTAGATTCTGAAACTTCCAGAAAAAGGAACTAGCCCCCAGGGATTTAGGCTTGAAAATAAAGTCTGGGCTGATCTGAAGAGGATTCCACCTTTACTCACAAATGACTGGATGGAATCCCATGCTGCCTTGGTACTATTGTCCAGGTGGTAACGGTCGATGCTGTCGGTGAGACCCTGAGCCACATACTCATTCAGCTGGGCAGGCACATTCCAGTAGAGGAGACATGGTAAAAAGCAGGTGAGTTCAAGAACTAAGGAATTTCCAGTATAGGTTAGTGTTTCTACTTGCTCTTCCCTTCCAACTGGTCTCCTCAGAACTAAGGGTGAGGAGAGGGTATTTATCTATGGGCAAACATCCTGAGATCCTGAGCGTGAGGTGGCATTGAAGGAAGAAGTATTTAGTAGGCTTGCTTCCTTCCAGAGCTCTTGGTTTACAAGAGAGAAAAAGGGACAATTAAAGCAAGAGCTATCCGTAGGCACTGAGGCAGGCATCCTCTCCTGCCAAATACACAGAGGAAAGCAAGTAGAGGAAGATACCCGTGTTTTACTGCTCCTTCCAGGCATCCCTCAAGACACCACTCAGGTACAATCTCTTTGATAACAATTTTTTCTCCCCCCAATGACTATTACTCTCTGTTTCCTCTATCCTTCCACTTAATTTCCATCTCTATTATCGGACTTGTTTTGTGCCAACTTCTCCACTGCATACTACCCACTTTCAGTATTAAGACAATAAGCTGTGCTCTTTATAACTTACCTTCTGTTCATATACAAAGAGCAGGATGGCCAAGATCACCTCAGCAAGGAGGATAATCAGCAGCAAGATGAAGAACTGGGACAAAGCAGAGACATTCTCACACACTGATCCCTATTCTCCCACTCCCACTCAGCCCTGGGAGCATCCAGGGGCATTTGCACACGTGCGAGATGTTCCTTTTCTGCCTCCTTAGGCCATGGTAAGCCTTCTTTTGTTTTGTGGAAATATGTGTTCTTTTTCTACAATTAGACTCCAGAGGGCAGATCAACTGTCTTCTTTGTTCTCTCCTACTTGCTGTGCCTATCAGAGCACTAGACGCATAATACATACACAACACCATCTGTTGAAGAAGTTAAGCAATTTTGACATCTGCCTATTGAAGAAGTTAAGCAAAAGGTCAGTAAACGAAATCATCCAAAGCCTGCTCCTTTCTACAGGATCAGGGATACTTCTGGCTGGAGGACTGCTGGTGGTGGCTAAAAGGAGCCCTGTACAGTAGGGGGAAAGAAGGACTCTAGCCATGAGTCTAACTCGTATTTGTTTCCAGCTTTAGATGCTTATTCCCTTTCTGCTAATAATACACAACAAAAAACATTTTCACTTATTCCTTCTCACTCACCTTTCTTACCCCAACATTAATTTTGACTGCTTAAAACATTTACCCCATGTCTATTATCTTCCATCTCTGCCATTAGTCTGACAACTATCTAGAAGAGGAACTGTTTTTTTTTTTTCTTTTATTCCTTCTCTTGGCTTCAGTTTAAGAGTTAACCCATAATGGAAAAAAGATTAACCAGATGACTTAAGAAAGAACCAAGGTGATTAGAAACCCACACTTGTTGGTAGAGGGGCACTGTTACACCAAGCTCTGTTCAGGGAACACAAGAGAAATGTAGAGCTCAGTGCTTCTACAGGCGCTCTGCTTAGACCTCAGTGGCTGCAGCCAGAGCCCTCACCTAAGCTGGGTCTCTCTACTAAGTATCTTGTGCAGATACGAGCTAAGAAAGCATCCTCTGCCATTTGGGGAAGAAAGAGTCTGGAAATTATTTTTCCATCAGTTAGTGACTCTTGAGTCAGATCCTGAGAGTACATAATAATAGCTAGCATGAGGAAGATTTGGGAAGATAGATGACACCTGATTTCATCCAGAAATAAAGAAAAAATAAAATGCTCTGAAGGGGTATTATAATGGCAAAGGTCATTATTAACAGTATAAAATGGCTACCAGGGAGGATAGCAATGTGCTCTCTCACCTGTCCTTGGGACCCTAATTATATATAATATACTGTTGGTCTGGACAGACTTGGCTGATCTGAGGTACCAATCGCATTTTCCTATGATCTCTCTGTGCCTGTAAGTGATCTACCAAGAAACATCTTGCCTGGAACTTAGGCACCATCTCCCCAACTTGGACACCACATCGGCTGTAAGGACTCACCGACATAAGCAGACACTTGTTTTCCTTGATAGAGCCCATGCAGCCCAGGAAGGCAACTACCATGATAATGGAGCCCACGGTGATGAACACATTGCCCAGCGTGAGGGAGGGGAGGTTATGGAAGAGCACTCCGAAGTTGTTGTGGACCAGCAGGTAGATCCCAAAGCCCAAAAGGCAGCAGCCACAGATCTGAAAGGAAGAATCCCACAACATCCTGAAGCAAAATGGGGTTCTTGGATATGTCCTCCTATTCTCACTTCCTTGAGATCAGAATCACTTTATTTTTAATTGGTTCGATCAAGAGTCTGATGAACAATTTCTTTACTGAACTTTTCATGCACACATCGGAGAGGCAAACCCAGCTTTTTCGTGTGGAGATCTACTCACAACTCTTCCTACCCATTTCCAGAAAGCAAGGAAAGATCACTTCTGTGAGCCACACGATATCTTCACCATATATAGGTCTAACTCCGTGCTCCTTATCTTTTCAGTTGCTCACACATGGCTTTCCCCGTGGAAACCATGACCATGTAGAGAAGATGCCCTGCTGGAGGAAGCTCCTCTTGCTAGGCAGAAAACTAGAGAAGCAAAACTTATAAAAATCTTCTCATATACACACGAGTATCAACCCGTCCTATATCTGAAATTCAACTGCTGGATTTTGTACAGTGAAACCTCCCCAGAAAGGATGACTTTCCTTTCAATCACTTGTTGTTTCAAGGAATCTAGAAACAAAGACAGGAAAAACAGAGGCACTCAATACCCAGAGCGCGCAGTCTCAGGTTTCTCAGCTGTATATGTCAGCTGTGAGTGGTAGTAAACTAAAGCCCTCAGAAAGAAGCAGCACCTCCATTAATTACTGCACTAGTACCTCTCAATTTCGCAGGTTTATTCTGTGGCAGGAAGAGGGGGAAAATTATTATTCTTTTGTTTCTAGGATGGTGGTGCTGGACATGACCCAAACATGCATGCATTTTACCTGACACTAGCCTCTTCGGTAGAGGAGAGAGAACTTAGCTGGGGAAAGGTGAACTTAACCATGCTCAGAAGAGGCACACTTACCCAAAAGAGCAAGTTGAAGAAAAACAGGACATACTTCAGCAGTTTCAAGCTACTCATGCCCATGCTGTGATATTCTTGCCCTAAGGAATAAAGAAGAAGAAAGTAAGTTACCTGGCACTGTAAGGTAGCACCAGAGACCAGTGTGCACAAATGTTCAGGGATCTCTAGCATTACCTTGGGTTTGAGCTATGGCTCTCTGGAAAGTTTCTCCAAACTCTCTGCTCTCCTAGTTTCTGAACTGAAATGTCAACTGGCTCATCTTAGACATTCACTTTTTTCCAATTCTGCAGACCAACAATACTTAATATTGAATCAAGCATTGTAGAAGAAAACAATAGAGCCATTCTTAGAAGGCGATGAGTCGCAGTGACGAAGACCAGGCCAGAGCTTTAGCTCCATCTGCCGCATTAGTGACTAGTGCCTGGGCACTTACTCAAGCCCTTGAAGTCAGGGATGGACTGGTCAATCAGCCACTAAGAAAGCCAACAGCTTCATTAGCCAGTTTCTTAAATACTCTGTGATTCATGTACACACTACATTTGATCATTAAACTTCTCCACATGAAACTGGGGGAACATAGCCATGCCCCATTTATTATTTTATTGCAGAAACATTTATAATGTTTTCTGTTTTAGATGTTGTGAAAGATGCAACCATGACTAAGCCGTAGCTATGCTTCAGAAGATAACAGTCATGCAGCAGAGATAGCCAGGCACTGTGGCTCACACCTGTAATCCCAGCTCTTATGGAGGCAGAGGCGGAAGGATAGCTTGAGCCCAGGAGTTCTAGACCTGACTGGGCAATATAGCAAGACCCCATTCTCCACAAAAAGAAAAAGAAAGCTTACAGCAGAGATAAAACAAGCCAACAAATATGCAATGAGGAAGTATAAAACGAGCAATGTAAGTTTAATTTTTTTTCAACTAGAAAATCATTTTCTTAGTGAGGACATCAATGTCCAATGTTTGGTCCTCAATTCTAGAAACCCAGATACAAAATTTTGACTTTACTTTTTTTCTTTTCCTTCCTTCCTTCCTTGTTCCTTCCATCCTTCCCTCCCTCCCTCCTTCTTTCCTTCCCTCCTTCCCTTCCTTCTTTCCCTCCCTCCTTTCCTTCCCTTCTTCTCTTCCTTCCCTCCCTCCTTTCCTTTCCTCCTTCCCTTCTTTCCTTCCCTCCTTCCTTTCCTTCCCTTCTTCTCTTCCTTCCCTCCCTCCTTTCCTTCTCTCCTTCCCTTCCTTCTTTCCCTCCCTCCTTTCCTTCCCTTCTTCTCTTCCTTCCCTCCCTCCTTTCCTTCCCTCCTTCCCTTCCTTCTTTCCCTCCCTCCTTTCCTTCCCTTCTTCTCTTCCTTCCCTCCATCCTTTCCTTTCCTCCTTCCCTTCCTTCCCTCCCTCCTTCCCTCTTTCCCTCACTTCCTTCCTTCCATCCCTCTTTCCTCCTTCCTTCCTCTCTTCTTCCTTTCTTTTTTTTTGGCAGGGTCTCAATCTGTCACCCAGGCTGGGTTCCAGTGGCACAATCTCAGTTCACTCCAACCTTCACCTCCCAGGCTTAAGTGATCTTCCCACCTCAGCCTCCCAAGTAGCTGGGTCTAAAGGCATGCACCACCATGCCCATCTAATTTTTGAATTTTTAGTAGAAATGAAGTTTCACCATGTTGAAACTGGTCTGGTCTCAAACTCCTGACCTCAAGTGATCTGTTCGCTTTGGCCTCCCAAAGTGCTGGGACTACAGGCATGGGCCACCACGTCTGGCCCAAAATTTTGAATTTTTTTGTCAGAGGTAATGACATTCTATAAAGTGATTCATATTTTAAAACTGTGCACAGGACTGATATATAAATCAGAATCTTGAGGTAGTGATTTTTTCCATTAAAATTATGCCTTTTCTAGTCCATGGGTCACTTGTGCAATCCATAGTGTCTTCTTTGTGGTTAGTTCCAAGGTATCTGGAAATCACATGGTCTTGAGGGAACAGTTCATCCAGGCCGTAGATAAGCCTGATGAGCCAGTTCTCTTCTGCAATAAAGTGAATTTCCACCAAGTACTTATATCTATCTCATACCCTTTTCTTGTACTTTGTGCTTTTTTCTCCTTTTCTTCTTGTCTTACTTCTCGGGATTATTCCTATATCTACATCTTACTTCAATGAAATTAAAATAAAATTAATTAGATTATAAATATAATTGAATATACATCAGAAGCAAAAAAAAAAAAAAAGTGTGATGATTTACTACCCAGGCTTTGAGGTCAAACTTGAATTCACCTCTTACATATGCACAAAACAGCTATGTGAGAATTGGACACCAACTTAACAGTCATAGCCACAATTTCAATCACTTCCTATGTAAAGTGGGGCAGTCCTTATCCCTCGCAGGGTGAATGTGAAGATTAAATGATCTTATCACACAGCCTGGCATACAGCAGGACCAGTACACAATAAACCGAACCCGTTATTTACTCTTAAAGAACTACTCTGTTTATCAGCAGTGAAGGATGAATTTGAGTGTTTCCCAGCCCTTGATCAGCATCATACTGACAAAATATCTCATAGAGTAAGACATATGAATAAATAATCTTATTTATTTTATCCAGAATTTTTTATTTTTCATCTAGAATTAATTTAACTCTTAGAATGTAACATTTGCCAGTCCTCATTTCCAAATTCTTGAGAATCTCTTGTTGCCCTTTGCATAAGTCATATCAAGCAATAAAAGATAAAATATGTCAAGTCCCAAAGAACAGTAACAAATGCCATGAAAATTAAAAGATTTTCAGCTGGATTGATCAAGGAATATTTCATGGGGAAGGTGACATTAAAGCTCAAACGTTCAAATGAATGTAGTCCACTCACAGCTAAACACGAACTCTCATGATTCATTGTAACCTAGAGCTGTGCTGCAGCGTTGAGCACTTAGAGTCAGGCTAGTCTGAATTACTATAATGCTATAAGTGTAAAATATACACTTAGTACAAAAAGGATTATATTAGTAATTTTTCAATATTGATTATATTTTTAAGTCATATTATTTTCTACATATTGATATAACTAAAATGATATTAAAATTCATTTCATCTTTTTCATTTTCTTTTTCTTAATGTAAAAATATAAAGTCGTGGCTGGGCGTGGTAATCCCAGGACTTTGGGAGGTTGAGGCAGGTGGATCACCTGAGGTCAGGAGTTCAAGACCAGCCTGGCCAATATGGTGAAACCCCATCTCTACTAAAAATATGAAGATTAGTTGGGCATGGTGGTGCGCACCTGTAATCCTAGCTACTTGGGAGGTGGTGGCATGAGAATCTCTTGAACCTGAGAGGCGGAGATTGCAGTGAGCTGAGATCATGCCACTGCACTCCAGCCTGGGTGAGAGTGAGACTCTGTCTCAAAGCAAAAAACAAAAACCAAAAATTTATATAATCACATATTTGGGAAATGTGCCTCTGGCCAATTAATAGGGACCAGATTTACCCCCTCACCTGAAACAGCTAAAAAAATGTAGATTATAAAATAATGGTCTGCAAAACACTGAATGTAAGACAATGAAGGACGTGGACCCATGAGAGATGGGGAATAAATGGTGTGTGTCCTGTGATTGCCTCAGCTTTTATTCACTGACAGTTTCCAGACCATGGAACACAGATGGGGAACCTGGCAGACTCCCTCGGTTAAGGAGACAGAGCTGAGATTCTGAGGAAACCAAGACAGCTAAAGTTTACAGGACACAGCAAGGTGCAAAAGAAAGCGGCACAGAGAGCAAAGCCCAGAGCTCTGCAGTGGGTGTTTGCGTCAGTTTCCTATTGCTGCTAAAACATTACCACAAACTTTGTGGCTTGAGGCAACATGAATTTATTCATTTACAGTTCTCAAGGTCAAACGTATGCATTCAAGTTGTTGGCTAGGTTGCATTTCTTCTGCAAGCCTCAGGGAGATAACCTGTTTCCTTGCCTTTGTCGGCTTCTAAAGTCACCTGCATTCCTTGTCTCCGTTCCTGCATCATGCAACCTCTTGCTTTTGTCATCACATCTGCTGCTTTCCACTCTGATCTCCTGCTTCATTCTTATGAGGGCCCATATGATTAGATAAGAACCACCTGGCTCATCCAGGATAATCACCCATTTAATCACAGCTTCAAAGTCGTTGTTGCTCTATGAGGTGCATGGACATATTTGGGGTCCTATTACTCAGTCTACCAAAGTGTCCATTAAGAATTTAGCTGAGTCCTGAATACACATGCATATAAAAAAGACTACCCAAGGATAAGTACCATCTGAGCAGTGCCTGGCATTCACACAGCACCAGTGCCTATTCCCACCAGTCAGACTGGAAAACTCCATGATTTGCAAGATAGAGTAGACAGAAGGATCTTGCCTCAGCAAGAGGGAACAGATAGCTCTAGACTGAACACTGTTCTACCTAACAAATCTTAAGAGTAAGACTCCAAAATAGTAAACACTTTCCAAGTAACTTAAGTGCATCCTAAAACAAAGCTCAATAAGATTTATAGGAATACCAAATGTCTAGCACCAAAAAAAGTAAAATTTACACATAGATTCACTCAAAGTATCAGGCATGCAAGAAGCAAAAGTACAACCTATAACATGACAACAGATGAAAACCAACCTAGATGTTAGATTAGTTAGTAAAGCCATTAAGCTAGATATTATATTTTCAAAAATATAAATAGAGACGTGGAAAATATTTTTTAAAAAAACTCAAACTTCTAAAGATGAAACTACATTGGGTGATGTGAAAAATACATTGGATTGGATTATTGGCAGATTAGATATTGCTGAAGAAAAAAACTAGCAAGCTAGAAGACAGAAAGAAAATGTATCCCAAAAGAAATACAGACAGAAAATAATTTTTCCTTTTTTTTTTTTTTTTAGATGGAGTCTCACTCTATTGTCCAGGCTGGAGTACAGTGGCGCGATCTTGACTCACTGCATCCTCCATCTCCTGGGCTCAAGCAATTCTCCTGCCCCAGCCTCCTGAGTAGATGGGACCACAGGTGTGTGCCACCACCCCTTGCTAGTTTTTGTATTTTTAGTAGAGACAGGGTTTCACCACGTTGGCCAGGCTGGTCTTG